CAGTATTAAGTTAGATGTAAACCGTTGACAGTGTTAAGAAAATCTTTTAGAGAAAGCCGCAATGCAATTGAAGCTACATACCTTAGGGAATAAAAGTTGGTTATACCAACTCCTTGTATTCCCCACCTGCTAAATTATTCTCTTTACATATTATTCAGTTGCCTCTTAGTTGTAAAAAAAGCCATAATAGCAAATGATACGTTTAAGGAACAAACTACAGTTGGCTCGAAAGGATTTTTTGCACCGAATTAACTAGTAGACTACATTCAAGCCATTAAATAATCCATTAAATTCAATATTTTTTTTTTTTTGCTTTGTAAAACATAATGAAAATGTATACACAAAATAAAGCAACTCTTTATTTAAAGTACTGTATCAAACCAAAACATCCTGAAAATAAAACTTGTCAAAACAATGTTTACCGAACACAGTTTCGTTCAATGGATTGATATTAAATGTATTACAATTTCAATAATTTTCCTTACAGGCAGTAGGCCTACAGACACTAAACAGTATTTTGAAATCAACTAATTCAAAACTCTTAATATACAATTAGCTATCCCTTGTTAAGTACTTAAAGAGATTACTCCCTAGTGTAGAACCTAATATTTGGGGAAAATAAAATAAACTACTTTCAAAAAATTGAAAACTACAACAACCAAATTAATTTGAATTTATTTGCTCTGTGAACAAAATATGACTTAATATAACCTAATAAATTCAAATTTGAAAACAATAATTGATCAATGATAATTTAAGCGTACTTACGTTTCAAAACTTTAGAACACTCTTTTATCCACAGACGGTTCTGAGAAAATAATTCCACTGTTATGTAATTCAAACCTCGTTAATGTCGTTATAACGTCACAGGGTGATTCGTGTTAAATAATTTGAGACAAAGTTAGATGAGGGAAGGTGAAAGAAGGTCATTTTGGGTGAACAGCTCCTTTACGCCTGCTTGCAGTCCTTTGGAGCGTGATGACGTATTAACGTGGCTTCTTCCTAGCTGCTTGAGACTCCTAATGCTGTCAAACCATTTGGATATGTTTACATATTGTGTATAAATAGTAGTATATATATATGGTTCTTTGAACTTGTGTTGAAGTTTATGAAATCTTGTATAACGCAGATCGCTTTTTCACTCAACAAAATAAATATTGGGTTTTAAAGAAAATTTGGATCTTTCGAGTATATGTTTAATATATATATATATTTTTAGGTGGGCGGTCATGAAGAGTTAATTTTTTTCAATACTATCCAATTTTCCCCTTTAATCAACACAACCTATAGCGCTAACTTGTTTCAGTATATAAAAGGTGTGGATAAGTCAGTGGATTGAAAATTGTACTTTTCTTAGTTTACAGAGAAAGATATGTTTATATTATGTCCCGGTGGAAACTAAAAGGTCTTGGTTTAAATCTGCTTTCGATATTTTTTATTTATGCAGGCTCTTTAGACTACTTTATCGGCAATCATTTGTATTGTATTTATTATTCGCGAACTAAATCAACATATATTAAAATTTAACCTTTGAATATACTATTTGTACTTGGGGACCGAGCGATGCTCAAGGAAATTCGTCATAATAGGCAGTATAAATAGGCCTACTATATTTGAATTTCTCTTACAGGAACACTGTTTTTGTCTTTCGATATGTGACCTGTTTTTATTCTTATTTACTTTTTTTCAGTTTTTGTTATTAAAAGATGAATAATTTAAATCCAGAATAATATAAATCCTTGGACCTATAGTAGGTCTATTTATCATTCTATAATACCATTTTTATTCTTGAAGTCCGTATTTTATTTTTTCTATTACGTTTTAAAGAAAGATTTTCGATATATTAGCTTACAAAGGTGATTTATAGCACATTGTCATTTTTCGGAGACATAGATATTCCAGTGACATAATGGGTAAAACTGTATTCCTGACAGGTGATTTTCAACGAAAGCTACCTCTACATTAGAGGTTACGAGGGGGACTTGAGGAAACTTGGAAAAAGTGGTAAAACACTATTAGATATTCCTTTTTATCATAAATTATATTGTTATATTAAATTCTTAAGAATTTTTAAGAACTTATAATTAAAAAAATGGAAATTAGGTTGAACAAACTTATAAATTTGCAGATTAACTGAACTTTTGCAAATAGTAACACTACCTTACATGTTAAACAACATTTAAGACAACTTCAATGTTTATAATTTCCTTACATGTTTAACAGATTAAACAAAGGTCTGCCTCTTGATTCTGGTTATTCATTGACGCTGGTTACTATCAGATTTTAACAAACAAATCTAACTTTCGCCTAGTTTACTCTTTGCTAGTTTATATAATCTTCAATCTGATTATCGCAACCATGTCACAAGACATGAGCAAAATACAAACTGTGTTATCTGAATACAACTAATAACCAAGTTCAAACGACTAGTCTAAAGTATGTTTAATTATTACTGTCTCGATATCTTCAATTTCAATTGATGACACGATTTTTTATTTCAGCTAATTTATTTCATATTTTTGTCTCAGTGAATTTCCCATATAGAAAATTAGCTATTTTACTCTTGGTCTCATAGTAAGACCTGGACCCAGGACCTATTTACTTTTTCAATTTGAGACCCCTTGGATGCCAAAAACAGCTTAGTGAGCAGATACTCTATAGAATACTAGTATACAAAACGTGCCGACTTTCAGAACCAAGTTAAAAGTATACCTTTACTCATATTATATTTAGGTTATGAAATTAACACCCACCCTATTTAAAAGGGGTTTTATTATAAAATAATGTAAAAGATAAGGATGAAAGTCGTAAACCAAGTAAAATTGAACGAACTACAGTATTTAATAATATAATAATAATAATAATAGTTATATAAGTTAGACAGTTATAATTAAATAATATAAGTAAAGTTATAGGCCTACATCATTTATATTGTAAACTTGTTTGTATGGATTGAACATTTTCAATTATTTGTTCATAGGCATCGTAAAGAAGACTAATATTCTTTTTGATACGCTTTGTTGTATGCTTGGTAATGTTTTATAATCTTTGAAATCATTTAAAGATACATTATGCAGTTGAAACACTGCTAGCAGATATTTTGTTATTGGAAACATATCTAGCACAAAAGTATTAGACAAAATGTTATGCTAAGCAAGTTATTTCTCATTACATCATTTTGAAAGTGTAAACTCGTTGCTATATTAACTCATCGCTTTTCATAACAAGTCTTTCGTGAAAATATAATGAGGCAGTAGAGTTTCGTGAAACTGTAATTTGCATTTATGTTAAATCCATAATTTTAACTAAGGCTAAAAGAGCTGGTTACCTAGAAGATTATTTTATATATACGGTTTATAAAATCCAAATTAACCTAAATCAACCCTTGTCTGGAAGGTTACTTGGTCCTAGTACTATTCCCCTAAAAGACTTTAAATTTTGAAAAGTTGTTCACTTAATTACAAGAGACCACTTTCATTCAACATTTAAATTTCCTTACAAACGACACTAATTTAAAATATATCCAGCAAAAAGCAGATCATAAAAATCGAGATTTTTTTGAAAAAGGTTTCAATGAGGCCTTAGCCTTTGATTAATTTTAGAACTAAAAATCAAGATTTGTTAGTTACTTGCAATTCAATAACCTTGTGTAACCTTGTGTGTTTTTTTTCCTGAAATAGTTTATTTATACATTAAATCAAATAGCAAGTTTAATAGATATCAGTTTTAAATATGAAATCTAAATTGAAAATAAGTAACCAAATACTGGATATCTTGCCTACAAGATTTAATAAAGTCATCAATGATTTTAGTTTAATTTCGCCCACAAAACTATCTCTGGTTTACTTACAGGGCACTCTATATAAAATAAAATATAAACGGATTCTTACACATCCTATTTATTCGTTAGGTTAAAGAAAATACCATATTTGAAATAAAATACAATAGAGTGTCAATATTACGGAATATTGCATCGTAATGGATTCCATTGAAGTTAAATATTATTATAAAAATACTATTTTTGATTATTAATGCAAATTCACTACAGAATGTATAAAATACAAACCGTAATCTTTTCCATTTTCCGTTGCTCATCCAACCGAGCATATCTCTTCATTGTCGTGTCTGGGCAGCGTTGCCCTCCAAAGTCTACAGGGACAATATATTCCTGTTGCATACTGGATCAATTCCAATTCCAGTCTAGTCTGTTTTACAATTATTTAACTCTAACATCACCACAGTAAAGCTAATATGTTGAACTCTTAGTCTGTTTATAGTTGATAATTCGTTTTAAGACTAAGTTTGTAGTAATTTTAAATCAGAATAACAGTAATAAGGTATTATTCTAGCGATAATGGTCAATTGAAAGGTATTTGTTGAGATGTAATGTGTTTAAAAGAAATAAATTCTTCATAGTTCCAACTTCCATATAAAATATTATTTTATTAATTCTTTATAAGTAAACGCAACAGCCTTACATGTCACGTAATAAAAATAAACTAACTGTGCAACGCCTATATTGTACATAGTGACACTTAATACTGTTGAGTTACATTTACAACACATTATTTGTATTTTAAAAGTACCTACTTATAGGTGTGTTACTCAAACTCACATATAATTTTTATAGAAATACATATTGGGATTTGTAGCAAAGGATGGATTTTTTATTCACATTAAACACTTAGATGAATCATTGGTAATGTTATTTAAATTTAAACTAATAATTTTGACTTTCTGTACAGGACCATAGACCAGACCTCACCTTTTCAACCATAAAAATACACACATTACTTTTTATCTACGTGTAATCTTTAACAGTAAAAAGTTGTAAAAGCTTCTTTATTTTAATTAGTACAAAAAAAGATGTATACTTGTTATAATTTAAAAGGCATTGTGTGACCTTTATGAACGATGATTATTTGATGCTAGAGGTGCGATTTATTCAACTGAAATAAGGTAAAATGTACAATTTATGAATATTTTTCTTTTCTTTTCAGTGAGCAAGTACATGAAGAACTCAAACAAGGATGAGAACTCCCTGTATTTCCAGCAGGCCGTGTATGAGGTTGAGGTAGAAGAGAACGTCAAACCTCACTATACAGTGATCAGAATCACAGTAGAGAGCCATGATACTTGTAAGTAGAGGCTTAATTTGGCTTTATTGTTAGTTTGAATACATCAAATGTTTTCAAATGTAAGCTCCTTGTTTTATTATGATAAGAATGTATCTTGTAGTAAATAGCATACATATGTAATATTACATTATGTAAGAACAAATATTTAAGTTGCTAAGCATATTTTAATCAGACTTCATTAAGACATAGATAAACTTAAAATTGGTTGGCTTAAAAGTTCAATCAAAAATTACTACTAAGCCTACCTACTTATGTAGTCTAATTGTACGTTATTTGGTAATCCAAAGTTTAAAAAAAATCAGTTAGAGAATTAGTGTCATTATTCGTAACACAATCCAAATAATGAAATTAACGCAAAATATTAACGGTTTTATCCTAAATTAAAAGTTTGAGTTCAACCAAATGTATATTCCTAACTATCCATGAGAGGTTTTCTCTCTGCCATTTAAAATTCGTGGTTGAACCAAATAACCATTATAACAATTCTAGACATTGTCGAATTGAAATTAATAAGCTATGGTTAACAAATAAACCATTTTAAAGAATCAACAAACAATATTAAATAAGAATGACTAGGCTACTTTCCTTCAGTGCCGAAGCTGTTAATTTTGAAAGGTATTTTCTTCCTTGCATTTAAATTTCAAGCTGCAGAGAAAATAACTGATGGACGATAATTAAAGAATCCGAGTAATAAATGGACACAGACGTACGGCCTGTTATTGTTTCCTTAAAGTAAGGGCTGCTTTGTGAAACATATCAAGAGTTTTTCCACTTCACTGCAATTTCAACAGTGAATATTTCTTTGTAATTTAATCAGAAATATTCACTTACATTACTTTGTTATATTCGTATATTCGTGCATGCATCCGTTAGTTACTTTATTCATTTTTATTTAAATGCTGTGTTTATTTATATAACGTAGACAAATCAATGCTTCAGAAGCAAAAGTAATAAGTAATTGATTTTATGTAATCTTTTAGTAACGGATGATGGTTACTAATGACTAATGTTGCACTTCCGACAAAACGTTTCAATTGCGCATAGCATGTGGTTCAAGGTATAGGCGGTATCTTGAACAAAACTGGACCAAACCTTAATAATAAATAAATAAAAAGTGTATCAGTCGTCATGTGAACCAAGCAAACAGTTTAGAACGCTTTGGTTTATACAACTCACCGATAAAAGGCAAGATCTGGGTCCCAGATTAATTTCTCCCTAAGCACCGGAGCAGATTTATAATCAACTCTCATTTCTCAAGTAAATCTAATTATTCTGGCAATCCGCCAGTAGGAGCTCGAGTTCTTATTGTTCCTAATTTTCTGATAAAATATTTCCTTTGGATTCATTATACGGATTTGACTGTCTCTAAGCTATAACCGTTTTAGATTTATTAAATTAATTGTAAAATGATTTATCTAACGCAACTAATTGTTAATTGTGGTAATTTGACTTCTATTTCTGAATTAGAATTTGCCATTGATTTCAGGAGTACACTATTTTTTTCTTCTGCTGATTTGAATTACCTATGATTGTTATTAGAGGACTTTACACCTTTAACCTTGAACAGTTTAACTAGATTTATTTAAATAAATATAGTTATTAAAACCATTACCAATAATACAAAATGGTTACATTAATGTTATATTTGGCTCTAAATCACAAAAAAAAATCACACAACTCATATAAAAACATAGAAAATAAAGTTTTATTATGCTTGATTTTATGGGAGTCTTTGCTGTGATGTATTCAAATAGTTGTAGACAATAATGTAAGTGATGCGATAGCTTAAGCAGATTCTTCAAGCTACCACACAAGCTGATAAATAGTGTGTGTAGGTGTCAAAATATCTTCTTGCTCAAGACAAAAAAAGTAATATAATTAAAGTTAACCCTTGAAACTGGTATAACCAAAACTACAATTCTAGTTCCTGACATCAAGTACGAGATTTCAAGTGGGAACATTGGATCCGTGTTTGGGGTGGAATCCAACAATGGCAATATATATGTTGAAGAAGCTCTTGACTATGAAACAAGGCAAAAGGTAAGCAGTAACTTAAAAACAAATTTAAAAGTCTTTTCATTATTGACACCCCTATTTTTTTTAATACATCAAATATCTACTGTCATATTTGTTCATTATTCGGCAAGGAAAATTCAAGTATAAGAAGCTATTTATTTTAAAGAAAGTTATTAAAACATAAAATTAATTGTTCTTCATTACCTTCCATATGACAAGGAAAAACCCTACATATGGATGTAATATGATGAATTCTTAAGAACTTATCTTATGTAACAATTTCAATCCTATCCTTAAGTTTGTGGTGTCAAAAATCTTCTTGTGTTTTCAGTACGAATTAATATATTCTGCAACAGCAAAGCAGACGACGAGTTTTACAACTGTGATAATTTATGTGAAAGACGTCAACGACAATCCTCCGGTCTTCGAAAAATCCGTTTATACTGCGGATATCACTGAAGAGGATGGGAGAAACCTTCCCAGAAAAATACTACAGGTAAGCTTACCAGTCGCTACAAACGTAAATGTATAAAATTAACATAAAATGTTAGTAAATATCATAATAAATAATATTATGTCGCCGGTTCGATCCTGAGAAAAGTCAGTAGCTTTTTGATAATTCGAAACTGGGCCCAGCTGTTCCTGATCATTGGGCTTTAAATGAATGATCCTGACTAATGAAACAGCTGATCTTAGTCGGTAACAAAGCTACACAGGTCATCACCCACCATTCTACACTGATCCTTCACTCATATTTGGGTTAAAATACGCATCTAGGTGTTGTCCCCCATCTCAATTATTAATAATTGATAATACCAATGAAAAAATTTTGAAAAACCCCAATAAAGCTTAACCAATTTAAATAATCACGATGATAAAATATAACAAGCTATATTAACATGAATGATCGAGGTGATTCTATAACACACGAAACAAAATTTCCTTAATTGTAAATAATTGGTATGATATTACCTTTAACTCTTAGTATCACATAACTATTTTATAAACTTATGTTCAATTCGTTAACATTCATTATTGTTATTTATATTGTCAAAATAAATATTCAGTTTCCATGTAGCAGATTTATTCAGGACACGTGAAGAACCTAAATACAACAATGTGTGTATGATTTACTTCGTATACTGTCGTCTCAGTCATGTCAGCGTATCCGATGTCGTACGTGGTTCGACTTTACATTCTGTAATATATGTCTCGATATCTCAAAAGGCATGCTCAATTCTCAAGAAGGAATTTACTTCCAGAGTGCCAACACGATAAGTAACTAGGAACTCGAATATCAAATTATTGAAATATATTTATGGCGTGTACTGACAGAAAATATATAAAAATGTAAATAGGGAATATAAAAAAAATCGCATGAAGTAACATGTAGTTTTCAGCAATTATTATATTGTATTTATATTTAGCCTACTTAACTAAAACAAAAACGAAAATATTGAGAGTTTCTTTCAACCTGGTGCTGCACTTGAGCAGTTACGCAATTATTTGTTATTTTCATATGATGATGATTATTAGTTTGTTTTATATATATTTATGACATGCATTTTAAACTCTCTATAAATATTCAAAATATAGAGTACGTTGCATATTTATGTGCATAAAATACAGGAAACGCTGTTTGCAACAAAGAAAATATTGTTTTACAATCTAAAAAATATCCATAAAAGGCACTGAGTAACTTCATGTGTTAAAAGACAATATAATTTCAAGAAAATGTGAAACACATCATTTTAGTATTCATGTGTATAAATACATAAAATACTTTTAACAACTAAGAAAATCTTGTATTAGAATAAAAATATATATACATAAAAAAAAAACACTAAGTTGCTCCATGTTCTGAAAGAAAATATAATTTCCAGAAATCTTTTTTGGAAGATGAAAATGCACGTCATTATAGTAAGAGTTTAATGGGCTTTTGAAATAATAAGATTGGAAGAAGAGAAAGAAATGATAACGAAGATGATCAATTGTAAAAATTAGTTAGGGGAAGGCCAGATTTTCTGTTGTCAAAATATACAAAATTGGCCTCACTTAACAGGCAATAATAGTTCACACTGAGTAAGTATGTTTCAGTTGGTTTAAGCGTGTAATGTATAACTGATGTCAGGTAGAGGCGGTGGATGGTGACACGTTTCAACCGACCAACATTGTCTATTTCCTGGCAGGCCAGGGTATAGACTCTGACGACCCTGCAACCGGCAACTTTGCCATTGACAAGGGTAGTGGGGAGATATTCGTCTTAAAGGTAGGTACGTTATTATTTCTACTGAACGTGTTTATAAAAAAAAAATAGTTAGAAAGCTTTAGAGCGTGAAACAGTTTTCATTGTCATGCGTTGTGACCCTATGCATTGTTGTGGTCTTTGGAATGTTATGGTAATTCCGAGTAGAAATGACATGTGAATTTTTTATAAACAATATATGTTTTCCTTTAGCCGCTAGACCGTGATCCTCCTCTAGGCCGGCCCCAGTGGAGGTTCACAGTGTTTGCTCAGGACGAAGAAGGCAAAGGACTCGTTGGGTTCGCAGATGTCCAGGTCAATCTTCAGGATATCAACGATAACGCTCCTCATTTCTCACAGTCCGAGTACATTGGAAACGTCACGGAGAACAGTCCTAAGGGTAAATATCTTTGCAGTTTTGATGATTTTTGTTGATAAAATTTTGTTTTATACCAATCAACTAATTTACTATAACAATAGAAGAATATCTAATAAATCACTGTCTATTTAAAAAAAGTAATGTATTATGAGGCATTTAATATCCAATGGATTAAAACTTACTAAATTACGTAACGATTCTCTTTAATGATATACGAAGATATTTACTTTGAGATATTTCAAAGACTACAGAGTTCCCAAACTGTGTGTATGTTAAAAATATATATACTTAATATTTAACTTCGTTTGTAAATGTAAATACTTGTATTCTTAATGGTCTGCAGCTATAATGACACAATTGGTACAAGTTTTAATATGTTTGTGGTTCTACCAAGCAAGATAGTATGACATTTGAAGTAAATAAATCTTACATTTTTGTACAAATATGTATATTTATCTTATTTATATCTATAGGAGTATTGGTCATCAAAATCGATGCAGAAGACAGCGACGATCCATTCGAAAATGGTAACGCAAAGATAAAATATTCTATTGAAAAGAACGCCATTGAAGAAGGAACCGGGCTGCCAATCTTTGAAATCCAACCGAACACTGGCGAAATAAAGACACTTATCTGCTGCCTCGATAGAGAGAAAACGTCTGACTATTCAATACAAGTAATAGCAACCGATGGGGCTGGTTTGAAAGGTTTGTAACTAAGGCATTCAGTTACATGTTATCTTTAAGTTACATATTTTCGTGTAAAATATGTATAAATAGTTAACAGAATAAATATATTGATTTTAACTCCCAATTTGCACCCTTTAATACATATAATGAATTGTATACTTATGATTAAGTGAAATCTTACACTGTCCTTCACTTTTTTGTAAATATTCAGTTGAACATTTACCTAAACTTAATTATGTATAACCTCGTAAAAAGCTGCACGTTTTATCTTCTAATTCCTGAACAGAAAGCTGAGCCAAATCAGCTTAACTTGACTGAAATACGAACCACTTGGCTTTTGCCTCCGGATTATCAAACTAATTGAGCGTTAAATATTGACGGAACTTTGGGCCTTTCAAGATTCCTTCATTACTCCGCACGAGGGAAAATTAAAATATTAAATATTAAGTATCCCAGTCTTAAAGTTTTTTAAAACACTTAAACATGTCCACATTGATCTATTGTTATTAAATTGCCTGGAAACTTTTTTTTCCATTTGAAAAGGAGTAATACAGTATATCAATTACACGTGTCAATAGTAATACACTGTTTCATTTACATATTCACTTACATGTACTAATTGAAAGTTGAAGCCTATACATTCTTCCCCGAAAAATCGTGGATAAAACTGTTAAACGGCACTAGCAGAGAGGCGGACTCCAATTATAGGGCAGAGAGTAGGACCCCTGGCATGTCTACAAACATTTGAAACTTTCGAATCGCTATCACTTTAAAAGAATTTCGACTCTTAAAAAAATAATAAAAAACTGACGCAGCAAAAATCTAACAGAAAATATTTATTAGGTAGCCCTTATGTGACCATTTTTTAGTGTTATATACACTATTTGAATCGAAATCTTGTTTTTTAAAGAAATATCTGGGAAATCTTTGGAACGAAAATCAGTAGTCAAGTTATTATAAGCGTTGAGCTAGTCGAAATGATGTTACAGGAACAGGTACCGTTACTATCAGAGTACTGGATATCAACGACTCAGTGCCTGTGTTCACCAAGGATGAGTGGGTGACGGAGGTAGAGGAGACAGTGGGTGACGTTAAGCCAGACAACGTCACACCAGTGTTAACAGTGGCCGTGCGTGACGGTGACGAGAATAACCGCTTTGTATACAAGGTAACTAGTGCCTCTGATAAGTGTATAGCTTTACAGTAGTGTCCGGAGCCAATAAAACTTGCCAAGGAAGAGTAAGTGGCGCACATGGAGTAAGAAGCTCTGGAAATACTTTGTACTATGTTGTACAGGTGGTGGAGAGGAGCGGGTACGGCGCTTAGTAGTCCGTGGACTAAGAAATTTTGGAAATACTTTGTACTATGGTGTACAGGTGATGGAGAAGACTGGGTACGGCGCTAAAATGTTTGTGGCTCCCTTGGACTAAGAAGTTCTGGAAATACTTTGGTCTATGGTGTACCCACAGGTGGTGGAGAAGAGCGGGTACGGCGCTAAAATGTTCATGGCACCCTTGGACTAAGAAGTTCTGAAAATACTTTGTACAATGTTGTACTCACAGGTGGTGGAGAAGAGTGGGTACTGTGCTAAAATGTTCATGGCACCCTTGGACTAAGAAGTTCTGAAAATACTTTGTACAATGTTGTACTCACAGGTGGTGGAGAAGAGTGGGTACTGTGCTAAAAGGTTCATGGCACACTTGGACTAAGAAGTTCTGGAAATACTTTGTACTATGTTGTACTCACAGGTGGTGGATAAGAGCGGGTACGGCGCGGAGAAGTTCTCCATGATAGGAAACGTAGACGGTACAGGCTCACTCGTAGTTGTGCAGCCTTTGGACTATGAGGACCCTCTGCAGCGGAATGGCTTCAGGTTCCAGATACAAGTAGTGGATGAGGTAATCTTTGATTGAATTTAAAACCAAAGTTTTATCGTAAATTGTGTAATTTTAAATAGTGGTATAGCAATTTAGTTTGTATTCCCAAAGCATGATTTTAGGGAAAATTGGGAAAATATGGACGCCTTTAAGGACTTAGACCTATTCTAAGCGAAACTTTCATGTATTTGTTGCAATCTCAAGGCAAAAAGAATAGCAATCAAAATTTGTTTAAATCAAATCACAGCCTTCTTATTTAGCTTCCATGCTATAATGATGATTTACCATTTGGGAGTTCTAGGTAAGTTTGAAGTGCTTATCTACTAAACATAGACAGCAAGAGTTGGAATTCAAAACTTTAGTATAAACTCTTGAACTCGCAGTGAAGTATTTACCTTCCTGTAGACCCAAAACTTCTTGCGGCCTGTTAACAACGTGTACGCCAATTGAATGTCTGGAGTTTAAATTATTTGGTTAGAATCATAATATTAATGATCTCACTTCATTTTCGAAGCATGATTATAGTTACCATATTTAGAACTTTGTCAATGTCTAATGTTTTGTTTGTATTAAACGGGTTAGCCACTTTTTATTTGCAGTATACTACTTCATATTCAGAATTTGAATCGTATAAAACATTTTAATCGTGTAACTTCTTTATCCTCCTATAACTTATTTATTTATGTGTGTGCGCCACCAAATCATAGAGTAAATAGAAAACATCTTTGTATATCACCTATGTCTTATATGTTTTGGTGTTAATAATATTATTTATTATATTTCGAGTTATTATGCTTAATGCTATGGTTTTGATATTTTGTAAATGTTTTTTAGTCTCAGGACCACAAGTAACAGGTCCAAACAGATAACAACTCTGCAAACGTATTTAAATTTCAAAAATGCTTTAAGACAAAACCGAGACGATATATTAGTCAAGATTCAAAGTTAACCTAAACTAAGAGAATCGAACTTTCGGGTATAGTATGAAAAAATGATCATGGCTTATCGTCAATAGCAAGTCAAATCTTTAAATAAATTATAAATATGAAATTTGAATATTAAATGAATTTAAAAAATATTGAAACAGTAAAATACTATTATTATAAACAATTTAAGGACTTTATTTGATATTTTTAACGACACAGACTCATTTTTAAACCACACAAATATACAAAACAAAACAAAAATATAACCACGAATAACAAAATTAAACTATAAGCCATTGCTAATAACTAATAAACGCTAATAAATGCTAATAAACGATCCACGCACGGGCGCTTAGTCTATGTGGACGGGCAAATGCAAGGTTGAAAGAGGCCGCCAACCTCTTAAAAAAAAAACCTCTTACAGATAATGGATTTTTTTTTATGGATAACAACGTTCCTTTTTTCTCCAGGACGACCACTCGCCTCCAGGTTCCAGCCACACAGCGTTGTCGTGGGTGGTTGTCAAGCTAGTGGATGTCAATGACAACGCACCACAGTTCGACAACCCTCACCCAACATTGACCGTGTACGAGGATATCCCCACAGGAACTGTCCTAGATCAGCTGAGGGCTAAGGATGTGGACCACAGTGGAAGAAGCAACATCCGGTTCGTAATTGACCGTTCTTCCGACCGGAACAGGCAGTTTCACGTTAGCCAGGATGGGAGGCTAAGCGTGCATAGATCGTTGGACAGGGAGACAAATTCCATTCATCAGGTACCTGACAAATATCTGAGAAACGTGTAACCAATTCAAAGATTTATTTCAAACATTGAAAATTGTATCGTCATATAAGAAGCCAAGTTATTCAACTCTGCCTTTCTATCATCAAACATTCTACCTTTGTTAGTTAAATTATGTGAACTTAATGATTGAAGAATTGTTTTATGTTAACAACAATACGTTTAGGGTAAGATAACTTAGCTAACTTTTTCTGTTAGTCATAAATTTCAGTAACATACCTACCATTTGAAAGGAGTAATCTACCAATTATTAAACACCCCTTCCTGTACATAAGAACACTCCCAGCCTAAGGAAACCAAAAGTGGTGTCTTGTTCCCAGTTAATATATTTCTGTTTGTACAAAAAACTATTGCAAGAAACGCAAAACATTATAGGGCTACGGTATAAATGAATCTCAAATCCCTTCAATAGAAGTGTGCATGTTTAAAAAATATTATATCAATCATTTCCTGGTAGACTAGACGTTGCAAGTTCCAGGTACGTCCAATAAATTTACAATGTTTAGAGTATGCATGCAATATGAATTAAATGTTGTATCTAGAAAATAATATTTTACATTTAATTCAACACGTTTATATTTAGATAAAGGTACTCGCGGTGGACGATGGCTACCCACCACAGACAGGGTCCGTCACAGTCACTGTGTTAGTGGAGGATGTCAACGACAACGCTCCAAGATTCATGGAGGAGTACAGACCCGTGGTAGCCGAGAACGACAAGCCGAGAGAGATACTCAAGGTGTTCGCCATCGATCCAGATGATCCAATAAAAGGAAACGGTCCACCGTTCACTTTCTTTCTGGATCCTCGAGCTAACGAGACGATCAAATCTTCCTTCAGAGTGGTACAAGAGAAAGGTAATTTCTATCTTCTACAAAGAATCAAAGGCTTTATTTGAATCAAACAATGGTCTTCTAAAATAAACTTACTGAAAATGGAACTTATTTTTTTTATTTGAGAAACAGTTTACACAAAAGTTTTTAGCCGATTAATAATTATTGATATTAAACAATTCCACATTTCTAGAAACTAAACATTGGTATTATCACTAGTTTATATTTTTGTGTTTAATTTAAAACTGTAAAGTTATATAACTGTGAACAACGGTATTTATTTTTTAATCATCGTATTTTGTGCTACCTTTTATTTAATATTACCTACTGTTTATAGTCCTTCCTGTAAAGTGGATACAAACAAGGTGATTGAGGAATTCATATTGAGTAGTTCATTAAACATAAAAAAATTCTACTAAACCAATATTTTCCATAATATTCAATTATTAGTTGTTTTGGATGACATATAGTTAATGTATTTCTTCATTTTAAACCCTATCATAAGTTTAAAATACATTTGTGTTTATCACAAATTTAACCTACAGGATATGAAGATATGGCCAAAGTCGTGTCGTTAGTTACATTTGACAGAGAGAAGCAGAAGCAATATTTTGTTCCGATTGTGATTTGCGACTCTGGACAACCTGTAAAAAGCAGCACCAACACTCTGACTGTGGTAGTGGGGGATATCAACGATAACCCGATGTATCCAGGCTCCATGGAGGTGCAGGCATACGTGTACAGGGTAAGCTACTCTAGTAACACTTTGTTGTAAAAGAAAATTGTAGTATAATTGTCAGTACTCTTTTAACAATATCTTTTGAAAATCATATAAGACATTGAATCGAAATTAAAACCCTAATTTAGCAATTTGCAGCTAATCTTAATGTTTCTCTATTCAATAGGTACAAAACATGGACATTCCAATTGGGAGAGTCTTCGTAGAAGATCTTGACGACTGGGATCTGCCTGATAAGAAGTTTCGATGGGATTTGAAAGAAAGCCACAGGTTCAAGCTAAACGAAGAAACAGGAGAGTTGACAATGAGGTCTGGGACTCACAGAGGTCTTTACAGCCTACACTTTAAAGTTCAGGACAGAAAACACAACCAGAATAACGTAAAGGCCCATGTCAGAGTCAGAGTTAGGGACTTGTCGTATAACTCAATCACAAACTCTGGGTCTTTGAGATTGAGTGGGATATCGGCTGTGGATCTGGTGGTAAGTTGAAGAAACTTTTTTATTTAAACGTGGGTTAAACAGTTATTATGCAATTTTGTTAGAGTAATGTAGAAGTAAACAATTTTTTGCGTGGCCTAAAATAATTTGAATAATTTGAAAACAGTTATTATAATGAATCAAACTGGTGTAAAAAGTCATAAATAACCATAAACACCTTGTAATTTGAATTAAAAAGAGAGTATAAACAGCTAAGTTCGTTTTTAGATATCACTTTATGGTTTGTGGGACATAACAGTTACTTTGCGTAATGTTACTTGGTCACACTTATTTTTTGTAAAAAAAAAACTAAATGCTATGTTAGACTCTAAATTACATTAAAGATTTATCATATCAGTAGAGTTATTATATTTTTTATGTATCTTTTAACTTCTTTTAACTATCTTTAAACTATAATTTGACTTTAAGGTACTGATGCAGTCTCCTCTCAATTAATACGAGAATTAAAAAGGAAAACAAATAATTATTCATTTAAAAGATCTACCATGAATAACAACCTAAACAAAGTAATAAATGTCAAGAGTGCCTTGTTAAAAGTCCTGATTGAGCGAGATAAGTAGTGTTGGCGTAATCAATGTTGTTACTTCAACAGAAGAAGCGGAACGGTGGAAGCAAACTCTCTATGTTACAAACAAAGTTAGCGGAAGTTTTGAAAGTAGACGAGGGACACGTCTCTATCTTCAGTGTTCAGCAAGTTCTCGCACACCCTCCTCTAACGGACGTCCGGTTCGCCGTTACTAACTTGAAGCGTGAAGTGGTAGACGGGCTGGTTATGCTGCATACAAACTTGGTTAGTAACTTATGCTCTCTCACGTCCCTTTTAGACTAACGGGAGTTTTATTTTGAAATATAATGTAAAAGTTAGTTATGTTTGCCGTTAACTTGGTAAAACTTTCATGAGTTAGTTTCAAACTTTGATTCTCTTATACTTTGTGAGAAGAAAGAAATTATTTAGCTTGTACCTCAGTTTGACATTAGCGGTAACATAAAATTACTTTTGCTCCTATCACTCATTAGAATTACCAAACTTTCTTAATAATTTTGTATATTTTGAAATAGTGTGCATATACCGGGTATCCAATGAAGAGGTCCCTATTTTTGAAGTTGATATGACAGTCGTATGGAGCGCGCTACAGACTTGAAATTCTACAGTCGGGAATTTTAAGTCACATGTAAAGGTGTTGCCCCGAGTCTCAATTAATTCTGACTGATCCGAACAAAATGGCGGAAAAAACATAAAACTTAAAAATTAGCAATCATATTTGAAAGGTAAACCTTCTTTTTATCCAGCCATTTTGTCCTAATGTGTTTGAAATAACTGATACTCAGGGGTATTTCTTTTACATGTGTGTATGTTAGGACTGTTAGGATGTGTGTAGTTTCAGGTTTGTAGAGTTATAATTATGGTTAAAACCATTATTAGTGCTATGTTCTTAAGAATATCCATCACAGCGAATCTGTGTATTTCTAAAGTACTATGTTTACCAACTTTTAATAAACCTTAAGAATAATCCTAGTTATCATTTTCCTCCCTAGTTAGTCCTGCAGTGAATTCCAACCTTTTCTGATGGGTTGTTTTTCCTTCTTTTCCCACTCAAATCTACGAATCAAACATAATTGCTATCTACTGAATAATATTTTCATTATAAAACCATAAAAGCCGTCTAATTTCATAAACACCATTCAGATAGAAGAAGCAGTGAAGCTGAACATCACTATGGTGGGAGTGGACGAGTGTGTTGATGAGCGGCGTCATTGCGAGGGTAGTTGCACGTCACGACTGGAGGTGGGGGGATCATCTCTAGTCAACGCCAACACCACAGTGCTGGCTGGGGTGAGAGTTGTAGCGGTGGCCGAGTGCCTCTGTGGAGCATTGGACTATAGTCGCCCTGAGACATGCAGATCTCGTCCATGTTTCAACGGTGGTCGCTGTATAGAAGGCCGATATGGAATCAGGTACAAATTAGAAATTTTCTAGTGTTCCTTAACCTCCAATAAAGCATAGAAGGAGAACAAGAGCTTTCATATCGGTGGAATACCAAAGGCACTAGATAGTGCAGGAGAAAGAATTCGAACTATTTTAGTGAAGTCACCAGATACCTTAATTGTGCAGACCCAATAAAGGATCCTAAGGGATTTATATCCCTCCTATATAATATGTAGTATTCAAAGAATGTATTATTTCTTTACAAATATCATATACTTACATATTGATACTAATTTTTTTTATTTTATTACAGTTGTTCGTGTCCTAGCGGTTTCAAAGGACCCAGATGTCAGAAGACGTCTCGCACATTCCACGGTGCAGGCTGGGCTTGGTATCCTCCCTTGAGTGTCTGTGAAAACTCCCACCTCTCCTTTGAATTCTTGGCTAGAAAGGCAGATGGTCAGTTGATCTACAACGGTCCAGTAGGGCCTCCTAAGCCTGGAGGAGCTACGAACTCAGGTACTCTTGTAATGTGTGGTTTTTATATATTAATATTTATCATCCCTAGATTCACATTTTGGTTTAACTAATCTAAATTAGTATTTCCTAAAGGTCTCTTTACTTATTGTTCAACTCATTAATGCTCAAAGGTTTATCAATACATTATCGTTCAAGGGGAATACATAATATACCTAAATTTTACTGGAAATATTTTGTGGGGTGGATGTATAAAACAATACTTCAGGGGGCTAAAAGTTTATATATTTTTTGTTATAGCAAAAAATAGTTTTAAAGGTATTTACATCTTAATCGTAATTGTCAACAGCATAATCACGCTTAAAAACTTATCTTGTCAATTATTTTATGTAACTAAACATGGTCAAAATAAGAAATTTGAAATAAAGTTGTCGTATGTTCAATGTTACGATTCCTTAAAACCTCTTTGATGGTAATAGTCTGTAAAAATTCGTCTTTGATCATTGTTTTTTTTTTATGAAGTGTCCCCACTTGATACATACAATTATCATGTAGTTTTTTTCTACAGATTTCCTATCAGTGGAGTTGGTAGACGGGTATCCGCGGTTGCTGATGGACTACGGTTCAGGGACTCTAGAGCTCAACCTGACAACAGAAACAAGACTGAACGACACCACCTGGCATCGACTGGACGTTCGATGGACGTCAGAGGTTGGTAGAGGAATTAGATGAGGAATCATAATAATGATCAAATGGATAGAATCAACCAAAACTCATACTTTACCCTGAAAAATTGAAACATAAATGATGGAGCATTTTTCTCGAGTCAATGTCCAACCAGATAATGATATTTAAAACTGTATAGTTTTAGAGGGGTTTTAAATTAAAAAAAATACTCCTTCTAAAGAAACTAAATAATTCTACTAACATAGGCCTACACATTAGTTTTATATTTAAAGATCATAAAACTCAAAAAGTTCTATTAAAAATTTATATGTTTCTAGTTCTGTGAGTCATGGTCTTTGGGTTACGGTCGCGTAGATAAAACGATGTGGTGATATTTGACTATTTTCCGGTCTCTATGCAGCAGTTCATTTTTAAGGCCCTAACACCAACACTCCAGTAATAGTCCCTTGAGAGTGGACTGCAGTTTCGCTTCCATATTTATTTATTTTTTTTTTTTTTGAGGTTGGCGGCCTTATTTAACCTTGCATTTGCCCGTCCACATAGACTACAAATCTGTGCGTGGAACGTATCCAGCAAAGCAAGGGGTGAGCCGGTACAGTACAAAGGTGAACTGTACTGATAAAAGTTAGTGGGAGTGACCAGGATCCGAACTCACGACACTACTGCCTTGGGCCCGAAGTCCGCGACGCTACCGACTGAGCCACCGACTCACAAACACATTAAACACTATTTTCTCGCCTGCTTCATGCGCGGCTTCTATAGGAATTGACTGTAGAATCCTATTTCAAAGATACATCAAATTGCTTCATATAATTTTATATGAGATCACACGATGTAGATAGAATATTATTTAGAAAATGTTATAGGTCAATACCTAATTGTTTTTTAAGTTTTATCATTCAAATTTAGAATATACAGATACATTGCAGGGTTTACTTTGATAAAACCTAATTTTTTTCGTTTAGCTTACGATTTATTAAAAGTGACTTTACTGTGTTTTATTGCTTAACAGTTTCTTTATTAATGATTGTTATTTTTGGATTATTGTTTAGTTTCATTTTTAAAGAAAATTATAAATAAAAAACACAGTAAAACTAAATGGAATTGGGAAACAACTATGCTAACTTAGCAATTAAACTACACTTGAATTATATGATTCAAGAGGTTTATAAATACACTCATATTGAAACAAAGTTAGCGAAATTGGGTCAGAACGATTGGAGGTTGTAAATAAAACATGCACTCAGTCGCAAGCGGGAGCACCGCAGGGGAAATTCTATTGTAAAGGTAAACAATTATGGTAATGCTCATTCTACACAATGTAATGTGCGGTGAAGGAAGAGGTGGCGGGGAAAAAATATCTATCCAATCAACTTCTCTTTATATTTATGTCTTAGTTAAAGCACAGACTAAAGTCATAGTTTTTCAAATATTATTTCAGTAACGTTTTGTCATAGTCTAATTTTCATATAAAAAAAGATAAATAAAGGGAAATTATTCTGTAAAGGTTTAACCCAGGTATGAATGGAAATGAGTGTAGGAAGAGTGGCGCGATTTTGTACTCTTGTTACTGACTAAGGCCGACATGTTCCTTAGACAGGACTATTAATTAATAGCCTAGATAGCCAATGAAAACTAAGAGACCTAAAGCTTATAATGGAATTGAAACCATAACAGTCCTCTATTATTGAATTAAAATTGTGCTCATTAACAACTTTCTAAAGCTAGCTAAGGCTACCCATCTAATCTCGCCCTCAATAATAACTAAAGCTTTGCGCAATCCAAAACATTTAGTAAAAGCAAGGAACCTTTTCTAAGATACTTAAATTCTATAAGAATGTCTATCACTTACAGATACAATTTCCAAGATTTTTTTACTACTTTTGAAGCAAGAGTTCTGCTAATGTTGAATGTTCCCTATCTTTTGTAGACGGTAGAGCTGGTGGTGGACCGATGTCTAGGGGTAGCAGGTCTAAGGGAGGCCAGCAGTTGTCGTGTAAAGGGTGCGATGCCTCCCTTCAGTGAGTTGCTCAACCTCCAGACGCCTCTGCAGCTTGGAGGACGCCACATCGCTGACGCACTGACACCTTCGTCGTACCGCTGGAACCATGTGCCTTATGGGAAATTTTTTGATGGCTGCATCAGAAACCTCATGTGTAATAGTAAGGTAAGACTTATTTACCTTTCCGTCAGTTGATTTTTATCGTTTTTTGAGTCCATATAAGCTGTCAACTTTTTTAGCTAAACCTATTGATGAAGCTAAGTAAAACACCTTTCCCTATTTGAAATTTGTTCAAGAAGAAAACTATGTACGTATATATAGGATGTTTGAAAAAGAATAGGGTAAAACTACACTAGTGTATTGTCTGTATTTTTTGAACAACACAAATGAAGAAGGGTAACGTAATGTTCACAAGTTCATTGTCGATACGGTTATGTTTAGTCTTAGATACTTGATTATCCATGACGGATTTGTTAATTAGCAACTTAAAATGGTGTGCTGGGTATCATATACTACTAAAACTAGAGCAGTTGTGACTGTTTAGCAAGACTTCCCTCCACAAAGTTTGCAGGTACGACAAGAAGGATATCCTCAGTTTTTTTTCGTTTTAAGTAATACGTTGGATGAGGAAACACCCAAAAACATTTACAGTGACTCTAGTTCGAGCTAACTCAATTACATAGAGATGAAACAACAGATCAAAACAATCTCACAAATTTCCATTTTTATTGCTAACAGCTGATTCAATCAAGGTAACCAAAGATAACCAAGGTAATCAAGATAACCCAACTGCTTAGTTTTTCACTGTTATTGTTAAACACCAAGTATTCGGCACAAATAAAAAATACTTACTTTTATTTACATAAATGTATTATTTTTCACTTGATTTCTCATAAAGACAACATATATGATTTTTAGTTTTTCGGTTTCAGCTGTACGACTTGGCGGGCAGCGGACTGACCCAGGGTAGCGAGGCTGGCTGTCCCGGTCTCTGTTCCCCCGAGTGTGAAGTCCACGGAGATTGTGGGGGCAGTGCGAGAGAGCCCCGCTGCAATTGCTCCCCCGGCTACCAAGGCCCCCACTGCACCACCCCCACCCAGCCTGTCACTCTGGAGCCCCACAGCTACATCAAGTACTCCCTCAACTACGAACCTGACCTGCATGTGACGGAGGTCCAGCTCAGGTTCCGCACCAGAGAGGAGTCTGGAGAGTTGTTCCGTCTGGGGGACCAGCGAGCTGACCAATATGCGGTATTAGAGGTGGGCATGGCGTTCAGTATTTTTCTTAAAACATTTTCAAACATGTTTACTACCATTTAACAGAAGGTGGGTTTTCTTCTGGGTTTTATTCTATACTTTCCTTACGTATGTGATTATTTTTTTCACTTGTATGCATTTCAAATAGAACACAATTGATTTAAAACTATCATTAGCATAATATTTTTTTCTAGGAATATATCGATTATAAAATTATTATTCTGCTTTTAGATCGTCGAAAGCCGGCTAAAATTTCGCTACAAGCTGAGTGACTCTTCTAAAGCTGATCTACGGATCTCTGCTCTAAGGATAAACGACGGCCAATGGCATAACGTGAAGGTAGCCATCCCATTTCAATGTTTTTCATATTATTTTTACAGGAATGAAGGTTTTTTGTATTAAACTAGTTAAGTAAATAGGTTTACTTAGCTATAGATACTACTCGTATAGATACGAGAGAATATTATATAAAAATTGAAATTAATTATATAGTTATCATTTGTTTACTTGCTATATAGAGAATAAACTGTTTATGTACAGTAATTAATTTTTTTACCAACTTTACAAAGAGCACTAAATTTTTTTGGAGCTTTGCATTTTGAGAACTATTTTGGAACCAAGCATGAACAAAAAACTTTATTTTAAACTTAGAAATTTGAATAATATCCATGAAATTGCAGAACTTAATTTTAATAGCACAAACACACATTAGGGCCCTAAGAAGTATTCGTGCAAATACATACATTACCTATAATGCATTTACAAATAAAACACAGAGAAACAAAAGAAATACCTCCGCCGCAGCAAACCTGCAGACTAAGCGAATTTCCATTTGACTGATGGATTTACACTGAAATGTCTACTTAAAAATATAACATTTATTCCCTATTTAAATATAATTATTTTAACAAGTACTTAGGTTTGTACTTAGGTTTGCTGCATCAGGGAGGGTAAAACTGTTTTTTTTTTTTTGTAAAATTTTAATAGTTAGTAAGAAATAAAAACATTTTCCAAATTTGATCAAAATATGTTCATAAACAAGCAAACTACAACAGTTTACTTATTCTCCATAAGAATAACATGGGAATTTTAAATTTACTATTTTTTGGAATTTTCTCCATAACCATTAGGCGCATAATAACGCTTCAGTATACTAAATTATTTGTTTTTTTAAGCTCTACAAAATGGTTTGGAAAGAAATTGCTAAATTTTATGTTTTTTGGGTCAAAAATGGGAAAAACCTATTTTTACCCCATAAAACCCCCCGTAAACCCCCGTTCCCATGGTCCGATCATGCTGGATCGCGAACTCGTTCGAATTAACGTAGGTTTACACGTTTGTACCAAATTTCATCAAAATCGGATCATTTTTGCTCGAGTTATCGTGCTGACGGACACATATATATATATATATATAAATATATAAATATATAAATATATATATATATATGAATTTGAACGGATGGTGTTTTTGGCCTCTAGGGACCTCAAAACAAAAAAAAAAATCGGTCCCGCGTCCAGGTCTTACCATGAGTACTACGGTAATAGCTTATTCCCTATATGGGAAATTCGCTAAAACAAACAAGAAGGAGAGAGAAACAATAAACCGAGATAAAAAGCTATTCTTTGAAGTCCTACCGAAGCAAAACTATTATTAGCTGCAAATAGTTTGAAAAGGTAATAATAGTCTGATACCCCAGAACACTAGGACGTTTTATGAGCAACATTGTGTTTTTATGGGATTGGAAACACAGTTAACACATACAAGTCTTAAAGTCACATTGCATCAGAACATTGAGAAAATTACAATATGATGATCAAAAACAAAAATTATGTTATTTCAAAGCTCAAGACAAATCGTAACTTAGAACTTTAAAAATGTACCTCTACCCCCAAATAAAAGGTAAAACAACCTTGTTAATCCAGGCACTAAACATGCTCTACGGAATTGTTTGGATTGGCCTATAAGAAGCTAATTACTAATTTCTATCTACATATAGCTAGACAAATTCAATTAATAAAGTGCGTGAAGTGTGGTCCAGGTTATTCGAGTGGGAGCATCAGTCAGCTTGGAGCTAGACGGTGGTGAAGGGAGGAGGGGTAACAGAACGACAGACTGGGACTCTCGACTACAGCTGGTGGTGGATACTGAGGAGGGCGTGTACCTTGGAGGTAGACCTGAGTATACGGAGATTGGGATCATCGCTGTGGAGCACGACTACCAGGAAGGCAAGTAGCGAGTGTAAATAGTTTAGTAAAGATAATTTTTTATGTCCCACCTTCACATCCTAAGACGCTAGGGTTCAGCCCGGAACTGTTTTACACATTACTTCTGACTAGGGAAAATGGGTCGTAGCATTATAACATGGATAAAATGCAATGGTGATTGGAGGGGTTTGAACCCGAGATCTCGGGCTCCGAAGTCCCGAGTTCTACCATTAGACCAGCTCGCCACCCAAACTACTAAGAAGCTACAAACAGTTTTATGGGAATATACAGTTTGATAATACAGTATGTTAATATCTCTAATAAAGGGTGTCAATAACGAAATGTGAACTCAGAAAACACTATTGTGGCTTATTTTTTTTCATGCTGGAAATATTGTTTGGAAAAGTTAACTGACTTGCTTCTGCTCTATAGATGAAACCTGAGTGGTAAATTTAATATTTAGGTATCTACTTGTCAACTAATATGGTGAAAAACCAGTTTAATTATTTATGAAATAAAAAAAAACTATTTAGTTTTTAAGCTCAAGCAATGCTTATATTGGTTCCTCTTGTAAATGTGTATACAAATCTTATCATAGTTTTAATACAACTACTAAAAGTATGATATAATTTAGGACAATGTGATTTTAAAGTACGCATACCCAGAGGGTTTTACATCGAAATAATGCAATGATGAAACATTAAAATTAAATTACCCGTGTATACCCCAAGGATCATTGTGGTTGTCTTTGAAAATGAATTGTGTATATCAGAACAAAGTCATGAATTCTTATTTTTCACATGTCTAGTATTGAGCAATAGATACGAATAATAATCATTGTGTGAAACTAAATTCACTATGCAGTTTTTTATCTTTAAAAAACATATTCACGAATTCCAAAAATAACCTTTTAGGATATGTTATGATATTCTTGAGATAGGATTGAATTAGATGATTTAGAGTAAGGTTTCACTGTTCTTTTTTCTAATGCGCTATACGTTCCTCCATTGTTTATAAACAATTTAAAAATACATTGCTGAGGACAAAGAGAACAAAACCAACAATAGACTGAATTGCCAAATGCCGGGTTGGTTTCTGTAGCACTTAAACTCTAATGATTCCCCGTGCACCTTTTATTGATTTTTTTCTCTCATACATTAATACTGAGAACATGTATATTTTTTTATATTCACACTTCATAAAACACAATCAATTTATTCAACTGTATCCATGGTTCAAATTTTTAGAAACATATTAATCATACAAAACTATTCGTAAGCCATGCATTATTTGTTTTATTTTTTAATATGGAGGTAACTTCATTAAATAAAAAAAAACACTACCTCCCCAAAAAATACCCCAATAATGGCAGTTTGAGATGGGTTCAACAAGGTTTTGGTGGCTGAGATTATAGTAAAAAATTTTATGTGATGCCTTTTTTCAGATAAATGAAATTTACGCCGAATGCATTCTAATCGTAGGCCTATATTCAGGGAGCACACTTCTGTACCGTAACTACTCATTGATTGATTAACTAATGTATTCAAAATTTGTAAGTAGATTTCATTGATTATAAAAGATTTTTTCAGCTTACACTACACAAAGGGCAGCTAATAGTTCGCCATCATTTTGGAAACGACCAATTTCATTAACTATGCAGCAGCATATGTATATGTGTTCTTTCAAGCTAGATAGTTACACTGATTGAGTGTTGTTTGTTGTTTAACTCCAGGTTGTATTGACGATGTGCGGCTGAACGGTCGCCCACTCCCACTGCCGCCCGTGTCTAACAGCACGGTGTGGGCCGCCGCCCTGGTCGCCCAGAACACCGCCCTGGGCTGTCCCACGGACAAGCTGTGCTCCACGGCGATGTGCCGCGGGGCCGCCCACTGCACTCCCAACGACCCCTGGAACACCAACCGCTGCTTGTGAGTTATTATTCATATTCATGCAGGATTTATTTGGTGTTTTTGTCCAATATAAATATGCAAGAGTTATATCGTTGACCTTAAAATACTTTCTCAGTAGAATATTTCACCTTTCACACCCTGTCATCTAATGTCAGGTCACTGACACCATTAGCAAATTACTCAATGCAACTGTCTTCTTATGGGCCTTCCAAAGTAACAGAAATAGTAGTGTGTTAAAATATGCAATTTATTCCCATAGTATAACTTTTAAATGAATAAAGTTTAACTTCAGGTGATTTACTGTTTCAGTTGTGGAGAAGGCAACGTGCTCACGCCCGACGGTAAACTTTGCGTCCCAAGCAACGACTGCTGGGTGAAACCCTGTTTGAACAGTGGAGTCTGCCAGGAGGTAGACAACAGACAACAATACCGCTGTGTGTGTCCAGACAACTACTGGGGAGACCAGTGTGAGCTGGCCCAGGACAGACACACTCTCAGGCTGGGAATAGGAGCATTCGCTACCGTACTGAGCTGTATACTGGTGTTGCTGTTAGGTAAGTCGTAGTGTGAACCATGTAGTAGGTTACATAGGACAACAGTACCATTGTGTGTGTCCAGACAGCTACTGGGGAGACCAGTGTGAGCTGGCCCAGGACAGACACACTCTCAGACTGGGAATAGGAGCATTCGCTACCGTACTGAGCTGTATACTGGTGCTGCTGTTAGGTAAGTCGTAGTGTGAACCATGTAGTAGGTTACATAGGACAACAGTACCATTGTGTGTGTCCAGACAGCTACTGGGGAGACCAGTGTGAGCTGGCCCAGGACAGACACACTCTCAGGCTGGGAATAGGAGCATTCGCTACCGTACTGAGCTGTATACTGGTGCTGCTGTTAGGTAAGTCGTAGTGTGAACCATGTAGTAGGTTACATAGGACAACAGTACCATTGTGTGTGTCCAGACAGCTACTGGGGAGACCAGTGTGAGCTGGCCCAGGACAGACACACTCTCAGGCTGGGAATAGGAGCCTTCGCCACCGTACTGAGCTGTATACTGGTGCTGCTGTTAGGTAGGTCATAGTGTGAACGATGTAGTAGGTATACAACAGACAACAATACCGCTGTGTGTGTCCAGACAAACAACTGGAGCGATCAGATTAAGCTGGCCCAGAACCATTTTTTCAGATTAGCGAGCTTCTTTAGTACCGTTTAGGGTCTGATGATTACATCCAATAGCAATGGCGTAACGTCTAGTCATTGACTATTGGTGGAATAAAAGTTCCATCCCTATGTTAAATCTGTAACCAGTTTTCAGTTAAAATCCAAATAGTTTAATTGAACCACCCATAGAGTTTGTTCTTGTCTGATAAATGGCAATACAATAAATTTTGATATATGTCCAACCATATTAGAATTATTTATATATAGACACCTGTCCATCTATATATGTGTCTAATACATAAACGTTTTAGATCAAAAGAAACTAATAGGATCACTTGTAAGACATGGGATATTTCAAGTAGCACTTTGACCTCATAATGTTATTTTTTGTACACAAAAGCTACAATTGGTTTATTGCTCTAACGTAGGTTCAAACTTTTAAATTTACGCCATAGTTATGAATAAATTATTGGCTTGAAACTCGTATTTTCGCGTCTTCTATTTTTGAATTACTGAAGGACCATGTGCTTATGTTACAGTCGTCCTTCTGATGCTTGTGGTGTACAACAGACGTAGAGTACACGGAGACAAGAAGGACATTGAATGTGACGTCAGAGAGAACATTATAAAGTACAACGATGAGGGTGGAGGAGCAGACGACATGACGGCCATGACACTGACAATGTCTGCAGGTGGCGACGTGTCCTGTCATACTCTGGTGGAGGATACAGGTAACCTACCAACCAAACTGTAAATAATCATGTATCGTCTGATTTAAAAAAGTTAATTTATATTGAACAATAGTTTTATTTTAAGAACTTACAAAAGTATTTAAGACGAGAAGATTAAAAAAAGGAAAAATCCTAACCCATACGAGGGGTCTTAAAAAGGTAATATCAATATATTATTGCTGTTCTGAATACATTTGCTCAAACGACTTGTTTTCATGTTATTTGCTCCGCAATCAATGCCAGTTCCATTTCCTCTAGGCACTCAAATTGGGCGTGGTATCAAAATTACGGGTGACTTGACGATCTAAAATTACTTCTGTGTGTTTTTTTTACGACAGAGAATTATTTTGCTGATACCAATATTTTATGCTATGATTAAAAATTAAATCCTAATATAATAAATTATACGGATACTGTTACAATAATAGCATGTAAACATTGCAATTTTAATACAACTGGCAAAGTCAGAGCATTACAGATATTTTAGCTAAAGCATTATTTACATCACTAAGAAATAGGGTTTAGTTTTAAACCTATCATACAACATAGCATAGTTGAATTAACTATTCAATACTTGTCATAACAAATTCGACATTGTCAACTATTTTTATTATATTTATAAATTTCTATTATTGTTCACGTACGAATACAATCCAACGAATAGTAATATGACGGTGTAGAACACAGTTTTAGCATCATAAATGCATTATAAACCTCTGTAATAAATTATCCAAATTAAAAATGTAATATTTACCAGTTTCAGAGACTTCGTTTATAGATCTGACGAGAAAAAGTCGGCCAAATCGAACAGAAGAGTTAACCATGTTCTCCCCCTGCAAAGACGAAGTTCACATTTACACTTTTGAGGGAGGTGGAAGTATCAAAAGTTCACTATCCTCATTGTCAATAGGTGAGGATGACTTAAAAACTTCAAATAGTCAAAAGAATAAACAGGTGATCCTGAGATAATTCACCTAACTGATCAAATGTATATTAAAAGGTAATAAAATAAGAACAACATCATTAGGACTCAAAATTATAAACTTTTCTTATTTAATAAAGATTTTGATAAGCCATTTTTAGGAGAAGTCAATATTGCAACAATAAATTGACGTTTTGGAACTAATATTACAAGAATCCCTCAAATGAGATACCGTCTTCATGCTATCCCCACTCAAGACTAATAGGTTGTTATAACAGATATTTTTCAAAGAATATTTTCAGTGTTTCCAATGGCCCCTACACTTAAGATTTAATTGTTTAGTAGTCTTAAAATTCTTAGTTATACAAATTCTTAGTACTCTCAAATTTTCCTAGGGGATTGCCTTACGATATTGTTTGGAGTATTTTGTTATTTACAAATCATTTACAACGCATTTACCATATATTAATCAGGTTACTTTAATTAGTTTAAGCCCTGTTAACACCCTTTCTTACTTAACAAATTATTTAAATGTATTTGTTACCTGCTAGAGCACTTGATGCCTTTTTAGCTTTGTGTTGTTTGTTTTAGGTGATAAGTGATGGGGGTCCAAGAACTAAGGCTGATTGTAGTTGTGTAAACAACAATAATAAATTATTAACAGACAACTGACTGTAATTATAAACTATACCAAAAACATGATAATTTTAAATTTGCTGATACTTGTAAAACTGTAAAATGTATTTTATTATAAATTTTATTTCTTTAGTTACTGAGCAATAAAATGGTTTACAGATGTCATTTAATTGTAATTAATATTATTGTAGTCAGCTGATTTTATAACAGCTGACTTTAGTCTCTGTAAACAGTTTAACTTAAATATAGGTGGTCAAATATGGTTATGTACAGTGTATTTATTAAAATGTTATTAAAGTTACATTTTAGTACAATGGTTTGTGGTATTTTTCCCTATTTTGTAATGGATAACGTAATCTTTTAACATTTTATAACACACATTTATCAAATATATGTTTCCATAATTAAATAAATATGCTTTGAATATTTTCAAAAGTTAGTTTAAAACTAAAATGCCTCAAAGGATTCAACAAATTGCGTCAACAATATTTCCAATTAAACAGTATGCAAAACATTAATCTTGTGTTTGTTACAAATAGTTTGTCTTGATATAGTAATGAGCTTATCTTGTAGTTTAAGTTAGATTTGATCTTTATGTTACATTTCATCGAGTAAAATATGTATAAATAGTTGACAGGCAAAACAAAATATATTTACTTTAAAAAGCTAGTTTGCCCCCGTTACTACATTAAATAACTATATGCTTATGATAAAGTGTAAAATTTCACCGTCCTCCACTTGTTAGAGCAATTATATGTATATTATATGTATAGCAATGTATAGCCTCTTTACAAAGCTGTTCGTTTTATCATTTAATTCCTCAACAGAAAGCTGAGCCAAATCAGCTTAACTTGACAGAAATACGAACCACTCGGCTTTTTCCTCCAGATTTTCAAACTAATTGAGCGTTAAATATTGACGAAACTTTGGGCCTTTCAAGGTTTCCTTCAGTGTTGCACTTCAAGAAAAATAAGAATAGTAGTTAAAGTCTCAAGTGTACGTAGGGGTGGTGTTACACGTCTAATTTGTAAAAAATCTGTATTAAACTTTAACATTACCTCATTGTTCTACTACAATTACAGTGCCTGGGAAGATTATTTTGTTTTTAATGACATGAGTAATATACCAATCAAAAGTGTTAGTAGTAATACACTATAGACTATTCCTAGACGATTCGTGTATAACACCTTTAAAAGAGCTGGAAAGTAGGATCCTCGGTATGTCCCTAAACGTTTGAAAAATTTGGATCGCTACCCCTTTAAAAGCATTTGGTTTACCTTTATAAACTAAAACGCTGGAGCAGAAAAAAGAGGTAACATAATTTTTACCAAACCTTAGGCTACTATAAATGTGAATCGTTGCAGCAAAACCTTTGAACGATCTAAATATATTAAAAGTAAATCTTTAATGTATTTGCTTATTTAAACTGCAAGACGAGAAGAAAAAGAAATAAGATGCTAGTGTATTGGTTTTTTTCTTTACGTTATGTGGTTCCCACAAAGTGAGTGTTACAAAGAAGTTTGAGCCGCGTATGTATCATAAACAAACACTAAGAATTGGAATTCAAAATATTACTAAAACTTCTTATTTTCGCAGTAAAGTACCTTTCCGTAACCCAAAACTTCAAACTTAAAGTTTTAACTAATTGGGTAAAATCGTGATATTTCAAATAGGTCATTTTCGGATTTGGAATCTTATGCAAATACAAGTTGCTGTACCCGTGCTTTGCAAATCAACCACACATCTAACACCGATTCTGGAAACAAAATTCAACCGCAACACTTAATTTGATACAATATTTTGTGCTTAGATTATGGTTCCACGAGAAAGATTACTTTTGAAAATAAATTTGATTTGTCTTAATAAAAATAACCATTGGCTATAAATACATATTTATTCATTAGATTTATACGTAAAGGTCATAAGTTTCAGGTGACGGGCACGTGGATGAAAAGTTGGTCAAATAGCTGCCATCGTTTCGGACACCATGCAGCAGCCCATCCCAAGGTACTATCTCTTGGGCGAATTAGTGTTTCTGTTGGTAACTTGGGAATTGACTACAGCGTCGCGTCCAAAATGTTGGCAACTATTCTGATATCACCGAAGACCAGGATCTAAGCCCACCACCGGGTTCGATCATGGAAGTCTATTACAAAGGGTTAAATATCCAATTAAATTTTATTGGACATGTGATGATAATATATTTAATGTTTAATCTCTAAACTATGAGGCCTAACGGCTTACGAAGCTTATTCAATCTTTTAAACAAAATAATCTGAAGCGACTTGTTTTTTCGTACTGTTTACTTATCTTTAATAGGGGTTTGTCTGCAAATGATTCATAAACAAATCTCTTAGGGATCAATGGTGTCTTTGGATGTTTTTTTTTATTGAAATTGTTTTTATCAAATTAATTTTTTTTTAGATTTACAAAAAAAACCTAATCACAGATTTTATAAGAGAAATGCGATTGATAAAAGACATGGTTGAATGAAACACGAAAAAAAAAACTAGCTAACACAGCAATTAAATTACGCTTAGAAGTGTAAATGCAAGAGGTTTATAAATCTCTTAGGTGTAAACAAAGTGAGCAGAACTAGTAGGTCAGAACGATTGGAGGTTGTAAATAAAACATGCACTCAGTCGCAAGCGGGAGCACCGCAGGTGAAATTCTATTGTAAAGGTAAACAATTATGGAAATGCTCGTTCCATACAGCTTGATGTGACGGTTGAAGATGTTTCTGTACAAAAAAAAAAACTTATATTTTCAAGTAATTCTTTGGGGTTGGTTAAGAGTGACACGCTTTTAGCGAATTTCCCTATAGGGAAGTAGCTATTACCGTAGGTCTCATGGTAAGACCTAGGCCCGGGACCGATTTACTTTTTCATTTTGATGTCCCCAGAGGCTAAAAACACCATTCGTTCAAATTTATATATATATATATATATATATATATATGTGTCCATCCGCACGATAACTTGAGTAATTTTTGTCCGATTTTGATAAAATTTGGTTTGAAGGTGTAAGGCGGGATAAACTCAAACGAGTTCGCGAACCAGCATGATCGGACTATGGGAACGGGGGTTTACGGGGGGTTTTATGGGGTAAAAATAGGTTTTTCCCATTTTTTACCCAAAAAAAAATAAAATTTCGCAAAATCTTTTCAAACCATTTTGTAGAGCTTAAAAAAAACAAATAATTTAGTATATTGAAGTGTTACTATGCGCCTAATGGTTACGGAGAAAATTCCAAAAAAATGTAAATTTTAAATTCCCATGTTATTCTTATGGAGAATGAGTAAACTGTTGTAGTTTGCTTGTTTATGAACATATTTTGATCAAATTTGGAAAATGTTTTTATTTCTTACTAACTATTAACATTTTACAAAAAAAGTTTTACCCTCCCTGATGCAGCAAACCTAAGTACCTGTTAAAATAATTCTATTTAAATAGGAAATAAATGTTAAATTTTTAAGTAGACATTTTAGTGTAAATCCAATCAGACATATGGAAATTCGCTTAGTCTGCAGGTTTGCTGCGGCGGGGGTATTATTTAATCGTTGTGGGACCAAAAGTTTTTTTTATGAAATCAGTAAGGGATACCTAATTCACCGTATATCTTAAAGCAAATACTGGTACTTACGTATTATACGGAGGCCACCCTTATACAACGCGCTGCGGCGGTTAGGTTTGGTCATCATGAAGCTGTTATGACTTGTCTGGTTCGATTCATAACGAAAGTAGAAAAGTCCTACAAACATATTTATAATAGACCAACCTAGCCTAACCACCGCAGCGCGCTGTAAAATAAGTGGCCTCCGTATAATACGTAAGTACCCAAATACTTGTATCCATGCAGGTAAAAATTTTAATATAAGATCATGCATCTTTAATTCTAGCACTTGAAGCAAAATTATTAGCAGCACATAGTTTGAAAAGTAATAACTTCTGATGTTTCAGAACACTTTAGGAGTATCCTGAGCAACTATATGTTTCACAGTAATTGGATGCAGAGTGCATGCAACACATAAAATCATACTTCACAAGTTCTTAATTATAAAGATGAGGAAAACTGAATATATTCTTGGCTAAATGGTACTAGATATTATTAAAGATATAATTGAATCCGTCGATGTACATTCTCAAGTTTTTCCTTTAATCTTGAAAAAGTTTACCATGAAATAGAGCATGATTACAGTATCACGCTTTTTCCGTAAACCCCTAATTTTTGGCCTTGAGATATAATTATAATATACTATACAAATATTAACAAGTTGTATCCTTTCCTTAGGAGCACTTAGTAATCCTTAATGTTCAAATGGTTAACAAAAAGTTATTTGTAACCTACTCAAATGTATATTGAGTAGTTGGACTGAAGCAAATATTAATATTGTGATTAAATTTAGAGTAATTACACCAATCCTTTAAAGAAAATAGACAATAATAGTTTAATGTCTAAGGGAACATAAGTTACTTGGTGGTCGTCTTTACGTTCTCTGAAATACTATTCTTATTATTTGGTCTTCAATTTTCACATAATTTACTATGTTTTAAGCTAACTATTATGACTTGTTTACATATTATATACATGTTAAAGGCATAATGAATTGTAACCATTTAGTTTTAACTTGAAAGGATGTCATCACCTCCTATTACGTCTTAATTTGAGTCAAAGTTAGAGGAGGGAAGGTGAAAGGAGGTCATTTCGGGTGAGCAGCTCCTTTATGCTTGCTTAAAACCCTTTAGAGCACGATGACGTATTAATATGGCTTCTTCCTAACTGCATGAACAGTTTATAATAGTGCGTGATTAACTTTCATACTTAATTTATGAGACTGTTTGGTAAAATTCTTAAACATTTTACAGCAACAGAACAATCACTTCAGCTGGAATTTAAAGTAATCGTAATTTATAATTCCACTGGCTAGTACTAGTTTCATAACCAACATCTGCTGGTGGCATTCAAA